GAGTTCTTTTTAAATCTTTCTTTTAAGGCTACTCAAATATTGGATCCTGGGAAAGCAGTGTCTGCCTTTAACACCTGGGCTTTAGAATAGAGAGGAATGGCTAAGAATAGTTCTGCCAAACATCAGACTCTAAACGTTCTATGAGCAGCTGTTCTGCACTGGCCTTGTGAGCCTGCACGCGTTTCTGCACAGTAACACACCTGTCTTGGATACATGCACTCATTTGAACAGGTATCAAAAGGATTCCGGTGGTGCCAGTGGCCACTAGATGTCAGGGATGGGAAGGGAAGGCTGGGGGAGCGCTCTGGTCTGCTGTTTGCACAAGATTCCATTGGATGGGATGTTGAATCTGTAGTTGCTGCTGTTGCCATGTTTAAGTTCTGGGAGTTTGTGGTGGGTCAGCAACGTGTGTAAATGTTTTTATAAATCCCTCAACTTCAGAACGTGGAAAACCTTTTTTTTTTTTGTTGTCTTTTAATTGTCGTGGACTTTGGGTTCCTTTCTTATCTCTGATTTTTTGCACACTGGAGCACAATACTTGTGTAAAGAATTCTCTCATTCCTTCTTCACGGGCACCAGGATATAGTCACCTTCCAGGTAAAACTGAGCTGCATTAGAAAGTTCTTCTATTTTACAAGTATGTAAAATAAACTGTTTACATTTTTTAAGCATTGTAGCTTAAAGTTTTAAGTTGTTCTCATTTGTTTTGTGCCACTGAATTTTGAAAGTCTTTGTAAATATTCATATATAAAACACCTATGAAGTAACATTCTGGGCACTGGGACCCACACAATGTTATTGATGGTCGAGTGGTTCAGAACAGATGTATCATTAAACTTGGTCACACACTTGGAAACTGTTGCTTCTTTTCCATTTTGATTCATAAATTTGCCTTTTGTGTGAGTGGTTTTGACCTGTTTCTCAGATCATTGACCTTGCATGCACTGGTTAACTCCTGAGTTCTGCTTTTCCTGATCTTGGCACTTCTTGAGTGACAGTTTTCTTCCTGAAGCAATGGGGACTGGACCACTGCAACTGGATGTGTAAGGAGGAGGCTCCCAAAGCGTATAAAGATTCCTTCCCATGTGGTTCTGGACAGCCTGGTTGCCCTGCTCATTGCAGGGAGGTTGGATTAGATGAGCTTTGAAGGTCGCTTCCAACCCAAATCAGTCTGTGAGTAGAAGAATGAAGGCAGGGAGGAGCAGGAAATGAGTCTTGCTCCTCTTTTAAGGTTTTCTTTTTACTCAAGTGAATTTGAGCAGCTCTTTGTGTAAAACTGTCTTGACCGTGAAAGGCTGCTTGTTGCAAGGGGAGCATCATCAGCCAACATCAGCAGTACATACTGATGTATAAAGCGATTTTCAGTTGGCACACTTGGAGTAAGCTTGACTCAGGTTTGAAAGTACCTGTATAGATGAGATGGGCTAAAATCACTCCAGATTTTAGCGGAGCTCAAAGTAATGACAAATGGACAGAAGTGAGGAGATGGCACAAGACAGCACGTGGTTTGTGACTCCAGCCATGAGTTTCTGTATCAGGTTATGTATGTGGAGACTCACTGTGATTCCTGTGAGCTGATCCAAGCCATTTCTGGAGTTTGGTGCAGCTGCTCTATGTATTGGGTGACAAATGCAAGGTAAAAAGTTGCTTTGTGCAGTGCAAACACCATCACTTCACTTACAGGTTCCTTCTCTCCGCTGTCTGGGCCTAAAGCCAGCAGTTCAAGAAGATGAATGCTGCGTAACTCCTCTTTTCTTAAGCTAAAAAGGGTTGGGTATTTCACAGAATCGTCACAGAGGGGCTTAGGTTGAAGGGACCTTAAAGCTCATCCACTTCCAACCCCCTGCCATGGGCAGGGGCACCATGCACTGGACCAGGTTGCTCAGTGTTTAGAGCAGTGCTGGTGCTACAGCTGGGTGTCTGAGCGCACCTGAAGTGCTCAAGGTTTCGTTGAGCACTGATGTCTGACCACATCACCCACATACACACCATGACCATTGCCTTGATGGGAGGCACGAGCTGCATAAAAAGCTTTGCTGGAGGAGTTCCTCACTTGTGGCCCTGGAATTGCCTGGTCTTGGCTTTGTTATCAGGAGAGGTACAGGTGAGTGTGCAGGCATGAGTATAAGGCCACATCTGAGGTACTTGAAATCCATTAAAGCATTACAGCTCTATCCATATCCCACAGGAATTCTAAAGCTGGGACACTGCAGGTGTAATGGCATTTATAACCCTCTGCCTTCTCAGCTGGAAAATGTGTCTGGATGTGGGTTACTGACCCCATGGGTCAGTGCTGGAATGCTGGCTCCAGTCCAATGGATGAAGTACTGGGATTAATCACCTGCTTAAGGCTAATCACACAGTGAAGTGCTTCTCTGGGCTAGGCCCATTTACAGGTGATGAAAGGGCTCACAGGCACCCAGTGCAGGCAGGGTAAGATGGAGTGTTATTGCCTAATGCTATTAAGAGCCTTTTATCTTGGATGGCTTATGAGATATTAAAGCCTAAACCCTTCCAGTTACAGGGCTGGTCCCTATGCAGGGTTCCAGCCCTTACAGGAGCGTCAACTGCACGAATAGATGTTAGGAAAGAAATACTCATTCTTCTTTACTGCACCCTCGGTGCTATAGTGCTGCAGGGGAGTAGGAGGGACTCCATCAGTCTGATGCCATGTCCCTGGCTGCCTGTGCTGTCCCTCCAGTCAGGGAAGGAGGCAAAGGAGTTGTTTTGCCTGTGTTGGCTGCACCTTCCAGTGTGACTCCTCCCTGGTCTCTGCAGCCTGGGTAGGGCTGGGTACCCTGAGAGGTTGGGGAGCAAACCCCAGGTGCTCTGAAGCCTGCGATGGATGTGGTTAAGAATTTAACTTTGTAGGAAGTCACTTCAGGATGCGGTGTTGTCTTCTGCAGGTACCCCTGAGAGGCCCTCGTGTGTCCTTAGAACCTCTCCGGTCACTGCTCCCCAAACCCAGAGATATTCCAGTAGCAAGGACATGATGTGTGTGGAACACGCTGCCCTCCCCTTCCCACACTGCTTCCCAGTCTGGGCGGAAGAGGAGGGTTTCTTTCCCATCCCGTATCCCCTGTCTGTGTGCCGGTGCTGCCCCAAACCTCTGTGTTTGTATGTGTGTGCCTTCAGGGTTTGCCTCCAGCATCGCCCTTACAGATTGCTTCTGGTTTGCTCACAACAGATTCCAACTAAGTCCGTGTTGCACTGTATTGAATATTACTGTATCTGGAAGAAGAAGATCTTTGGCTGCAGATGATTTCCAGCTACTGGAGGGAAGACCAAGAGGCTGCTGCAGGAGGTGGAGGGGGCTGAAGAGGAGGTGCTCAGTTATTTCCCACTTGCGACTTTGGGGCAGGAAAGGGCGACGCTGCTCCCAGCACTCCCACTCATCCCAGGTTTCTGCCACGTGCCCGTCCTCACCATCCCATTAAAGCACTTTTGGGCTCCTCGGTGTTCAGGGGAGCTCACTGGGGCAGGCTCAGGCTGACAGTTGGCCTTTGTGCTGGATGTAACACATTCCCCCGGGCCCTTCCCAGACATTTTAAGCTCTTTTTTCGCCTTTTGGGAAGAGGAGGAAGCAGAAGGAACAAAGCAATAAACTCTCTCTGGTTTACAGACCCTTGGCAGCCCCGCGTTCTGCCACACTGGAACATAACAGCAGAGCAGCAGAACCGGCGCCAGGCTCCAGAGCAGCCCCGTGGCGGCGGTGACGGGAGTGGACTCCCCTGCCCTGAGTGCCAAAGGGACTTGGATTGAGTTGCACCTTTACAGCCAGCTTCCACCCCAGCCATGGGCTTTGTTTAAACACCGACCTGCCCAAACCCTCCCAGATCAGAAACTCGGGAGCTTGGCTTGAGGGCGGTGCTGGAATTGTCAGGAGGAATCACAAATCCCCGCGTGTTTTCTGACTTACAGGGCTCTCAACAGCACTCGGGGCAGAAACTCCCATACAACGATCCACTGCCGCCAGCAGGAACAACCACCCTCGGGCTGAGCTCCACCGTGTCATTGATTATGGTGCTGATGTTATTGTTGTTTGTAGTAGTTGTATTTCATTGTAGTAGGAGCAGTGTTACGCTGTTCTTCAGTTGTAGTGGTAGGATGCTGTTGTACTTTAGTTGTTAGTAGTAGTAGGTTATACTTTATATATTATTGTTGTTATTAATAGTAGTATTGTGTTGTCCTTTATTGTTTTGTCAGATGTTATTTGTTATTATTACTGTTGTTCTGTCATGTTATTCATTGCCATTATTCTCAGTCTTCCACTGCACTTCACTTATTAAACTGTTCTCTCCCAACCACTTGTGTTTCCCACTCTTCCCGTTCTCCTCCCATCCCTCCCGCAGGGCACAGGGGCTGAGCGAGCGGCTCCGTGCTCCCCAGTTCCCACCTGGGTTCAGCCCCGACCTGGCTCCGGTGCAGGTTCCCTCCTGCCTCTCAAAGGCCTCCGCCAGGGGCTCAGGATCCCAAAGGCCTCTTCCTGAGGCAGCCAGAGGGAAATCCCATGGGCTGCGGGCGCTGCCCATCCGCCCAGGATCCATCCCGCTGCGGGTCTGATCCTGCCCAGCGCAGGCAGGGGCGGGCAGGGCCAAGCGCCGGCATCAGGCGCATCCCATGGGATTGAGCAGGGCGAGGAATTCCCGGGCGAGGGGCCGGGCCCGGGGCTTTGTTCACAGCCGCGGGTTGATTGGATCGGACTGGCCGAGCCGTTCCCTCGCTCGGTGCCTACCGGCCCCTGTCCAAAGCCCCACTGCAGCGCCCGGTCCCTTCACCCGCAGCCCGGTGCCCTTGGCTGAGCCCATGTGCCCGGCGGGGCCGTCCCCGCAGCTCCCCCCGCGCCGCCCCTGCGGCGGGGACAAAGCCGATCCGAGCTGATGCAGGGCGTGGCGGACCGAGCCCCGCAGAACCGAACCGGGCAGCGGCCTCCCGGTCCCCGCCCCGCGGCTCCGCCCGCCCCTGGCCCGGCCCCGCCGCGCCCGCCCGCCCGCAAGGAGGCAGCGGCTCGGCTCGGCTCGGCGCGGCCCCCGGCTCGGGCCATGTCGCCATGTCGGAAGTGAGGAAGTTCACGAAGCGGCTCAGCAAGCCGGGCACGGCGGCCGAGCTCCGGCAGAGCGTCTCGGAGGCGGTGCGCGGCTCCTTCGTCCTGGTGAGCGCGGCTCGGCTGGGCTCGGGGGGCGCCGCCGCCGCCAGGAGCCGCGCCCGGCCCGGCGGTACCCGCGGGGAAGGGGCAGGGTTGGGCAAGGGATGCGCTGAACAGAGGAAGAGGAAGGGGGTGAGCGGGGCCGGGCAGCGCTGGGCGAGGCAGGGGATGGGGATGGGGATGGGGATGCGGATGCGGATGGGCAGCGGTCCCTCCCCGCCTTCCCTCCCCGCGTTCCCCCCATGTGCATCCCGCCTGCCCCCCCCCAGCCACCTGCCGGCACCGAGCCCGCCCCAGCGCCTCTCGCAGCCGGGGTTCTGCGGGGAACCGGAGCTGGGGCCAGCGCTCGTGTGGAGGGAGCGGGAGGGAACGAACGGGAACGGGAACGAGCCGTGGGGGGAGCGGGCGGACAGGCACGGAGCTCCCCCCGCCGCGGGGCAGGCGGACAGCGCAGGGCCTGGCAGCGGGAGAGGCACCGGCGCTGGTGTGAGCCGGGACCGCCACCGGCGCGTCCCGGGAATGCCGTGCCCGGGCGAAGCCACGTGCGTTCGGGATGCGCTCCCCGCAGCAGGTTGGCCGTGTTGTGCTGCAGCGTTTGTGCCCTGCTCGGGCGGGCGCTGGGCCCCAGGGCCGCCGGGGCTGTGCTGGATGTGCCACTCGTTGGGTTACTCCAGCGTGTGGTCAGTTTGACCTTGGTGCCGATGGAAGGGGAGGCAGTGAGATGTGCAGAAAGTGTGGTACAAGTTCCGAGTAATTTCTGTTACAGAGTCACAGAACCCCAGCTTGGTTTGGGTTGGAAGGGACCTGAAAGCTCCTCCAGTTCCAAACCCCTGCCTTGGGCAGGGACACCTTCCTCAAGACCAGGTTGCTTAAGATTAGTTCTCTACCATCACATCAGATGGCATGTGTTGTTAAATAAACAGGGGATTCAACTGTTCTTTTAAAACCAGAGTTTTCTTGTACATTTGCTGATTTCTGAAGCTGGAAATAGCCGTGGTGATAATCCAGTCAGATTTCCTAGCACCATGGCTATTGCCTCCCATGTGCTGTTGTTCAGGGATCCTTACGGGCTCCGTGCAATTTGCTTTCCTTCTTTCAGCAACAATACATAGGAACAAATGCTTTGTGTGCAACCTGATGGAACCTCTCATTAAAAATGAACTTGTTTGGGTAGGACCTGAAGAGCTTTGGTATCCTGCAGGCAAATGGTTCCTCAGTGCCTGCTGTCAGCATGGGGAGGGATGGGTGGGACTGCAGATGAGAATGAAGAACACCTTGACAGCATCCCGAAGGAGCCAGCAGGGCCCAGCATCCATCAGCAGCCGCCCTCCTCCTAGTCCTCTCCAGGGTTTCACTGCCCATGTTCCTGCCAACCTCCCTCTCCTTTGACAGGCAAATCCCTCGGAGCTGCTCCAGAGGAGGGCAAGGGCAGGTCTCTGACTCCTGGGTCTTGGCAGTTTCCTGCTTCTGACAGTTCAGCAGCAAGGGATAAATCCCGGCACCTCTGCATCACCAGAAGAGCCATAGGACACTGCAGTGTTCAGGGAGGGAGGAAGGAGGTGGCATAAGCTTGTATGACTCCCAGGTGGCACTTCCATCGTGCTCAGTAATTAAGGATGAGGTTCGTGCTTTCTAGGTTGCTCCAAGAAAAAAGGTGGTTCCTCTCCATCCACCAGGGCCACACCCTTGTAAAGAAGGCTGTTGTCTATGGCTGCTGGGAGGGTGGAGAGGGCGTCCTGGAAGGTGATGCTGGGGAGTGGCTGAGAGGGGGAGATGAAAAGCCCTTGTTTCTGATCCCATTCCCAAGGTGAGGCTCAGCCTTGGCGCTGCTGAGCTGGGCAGCTGCAGAGCACGGTGTGGGCACGTCCCCTGCTCTCCTGCACCCTCCTTGAGACCCAGGCCCCAGCCTGGGGAGCAGGGGCTGGTGCAGGCTGCAGCGTGCTGTGTCCTGAGGTGGTGTGAGCTGAGGCTTTCAGGCTGGCTGAGGCAGACTGGAATTGCATGTCCTGGACATCCCATCCCCTTCCTGTGGCCTGGGTACAGCAGGAGATGGAACATCAACAAAAGCAAGTGAACACGGAGCAACAGGCCAAGGGGAATGGCTTTAACCTGCCCGAGGGGAGACTGAGATGAGCTCTTGGGCAGAAGCTCTTCCCTGTGAGGGTGCTGAGGCGCTGGCACAGGGTGCCCAGAGAAGCTGTGGCTGCCCCATCCCTGGCAGTGTTCAAGGGCAGGTTGGACACAGGGGCTTGGAGCAAGCTGCTCCAGTGGAAGGGGTCCCTGCCCGTGGCAGGGGTTGGGGCTGGAGGAGCTTTAAGGTCCCTTCCAACCCAACCCAGGCTGGGGTTCTGTGATTCTATGAATAGTTTAATGCTCCTAGAGCCTTTAGGGGCACCCTGCCTGTCCCCCGGTGACCCTGTCGGGTACCTTGGCTGTCTCCAGCAGGGAGCAGAGCTAATGCTGCAGGTACCAGCCTATGCAGCTCCATGCACGGAGTGGTCACTGTAGGGCTGTTTCAGTGCGTACCCTGAGCTCAGCATTTTGGGCCTTCAGGGTGCTCCCTGGAGACCAGGAGCTGTCTGGAGTGAGGAGCCCTTTGTGGGCAGTGAATGAAACACTCGTAAATGAAAATGTCTCCGTGAGGAAAGCTTTCGGTGTCAGGGATGCAGGCAGCTTGCATGGAGCATAATCTGTGCTAGAGGAGACTCATCCAGCCGGGAGCACTGTGCTCTGCGTGACAAGCCTGAGCAGGCGTGATGTGCGGGATGATGCAGCTTCAAGCCTGCTGTCCTGCAGGTGACGTGAAGTTCATGTCGTCTGATTTCTGTTCCTGCGTTTCCATTTACGCCTGTCCCGCACCAGGAGGATATTTACACTTCTCTTTGGGCTGCAGGGAAGTTGGTGGCAGAGTCAGCTCCTTCATGTGTGTGAAAGGGAAGCACTGGATGTGGTGCTGGTCGGGCACCAGAGGAAGGGGAGGTTGTGCCTTCCCGAGGTGTCCTGGGGTACCCGTGTCCCACGCTTTGGACCAGCTGCTCGGGTGCAGTTAGTGCTGCTCCTGTCGTGCTATCAGTGGAGCTGTGATCCAGAGCCATAGCAGTGAGAATAAGTGAGGGCTGTGGTGGGGAGCTCAGAGGAACTTCAGGCCCTGTGGGTGGGGGAGGATCACAGTGTCCCAGACTGGCTTGTGTTGGAAGGGACCTTAAAGCTCATCCAGTTACAGGCCCTTGTCCCAAGCCCCTCTCCAGGGTTCCTGCAGCCCCTTCAGGCACTGGAGCTGCTCTCAGGTCTCCCCTTCAGGAGCCTTCTCTTCTCCAGGCTGCCCCAGCCCAGCTCTCTCAGCCTGGCTCCAGAGCAGAGCTGCTCCAGCCCTCGCAGCATCCCCATGGCCTCCTCTGGCCTCGGTCCAACAGCTCCATGTCCCCCTTGTGCTGCTGCCCCAGAGCTGGGGCTCTTTTTTTCCCTTTAACTGCACTGGTGTTCCAGCATCCTGGGTGCTGTTCCGGCCGTGTGTCGTGCTCACAGGCAGGCTGTGTGAGGGAGGTCTTGGTGAGGAAAAGGAGTTCAGGAACCCCTTGCGAGCAGGCAGAGCCCTGCGGAGCGGAGCTGGGAGCAGCCAGCATGTGGGAGCTGCGGTGCTCGGTGCGCCTGTGCTGCGGCGCAGGCTGTATCAATGGCAGCTTCCAATGGTCCCTGATGCGTGCTGCAGATTGGAACTGGGGGACGGGGTTTTGGCAGGATAACTGAGAGCCAGTGTCACTGTTTAAACAAACAGACAAACGGAGCAGAAGCGTTGAGTTGGCAGGTGGGATAAATGGCATGCGAACAGAGAGCAAAGTGAAGATTAGGGGAAGGAGGGGAACAGCCAAGCCTCCGTGTGATAACTTAAACCGTCCTTCCCCAAGAGATTACCCTGGGCACCACAGTAAAACCCTGTGCCAGGGTGCGAAGTGCTGGGCAGAGCTGGGAGAGCCATGAAGGCTCGACCTCAAGGGTTGCAGCCAGGGACCCTTGGCAGTGGGTAGACAGGGGTGGTTTTGGCTCAGACCTTCAGTGCAATCTCCCCCTTCCCATCCTCTCCATGCTCGGGATGTTGCTGAGTGTTAATGGGAAAGTCGTGCAGCGAGGCAGGAGGAGCCAGCGCCGAGGTGCTGCCCGACACAAGACCTGAGCGGCCGCGAGAGTGTTGCAAGGCACAATCATAGAACCACAGACACAGGTCTGAAGGGAGCTTAGAGCTCCTCCAGCTCCAACCCCTGCCACGGGCAGGGACCCCTTCCACTGGAGCAGCTTGCTCCAAGCCCCTGTGTCCAACCTGCCCTTGAACACTGCCAGGGATGGGGTATTCAAACCCAGTGCCTGCTCCCTGTGCTGTGTGGTGCTGCAGGATGTGCCCCCTGGAACCCCTCACCATGGGCACTGTGCCGGGAGGAGCTGGATTTTGTTTGATCCGGGCTGGGCTGGGCTCGTAGGGGTGGCTCAGTTTCAGGCAGGCTCAAAAAGGCGATAAAAAGCTCCTTAATGGTGATACTAAGAAGGTTTTGACTGGAGGCAAAAAGGCATTTTGTTCTTTCTGTGTGTTTTGGTTGGTTTTTTTTACAGCTTAAACTGTATTATTAGTGTCTGAATTTATGCCTATGCGGAAGAAATCAGCTTCCTGCATAGAATCCTCCCTTAATAAGCTAAATTCACTTTGATCAATGTGAAGACTTTACATGCAGCGTTTGTAGCGCTCTTGGCACTCAAGAGAGACACAGAATACGGGCATGTGTTGTGTCCCCCCCCCGGGGGTAACCAGCATGCTGTGTTTGCATAGTGTGCATCGAGAAAGATGTGTGTGAGCACGGGAGGAGCTCCTGCCCCCGTGTAAGCGGTGCTGTCGGTCCAGGCAGGGCAGGCTCTGCGGAGGTGCTCAAGGGGAGATGCTTGCTCACAAGGGTTTACTCCAGAGACCCTTCAGTGCATTCCTAACATGAATCACGTCCTTCCCTGACGTGGGGCTCGCT